TTTATAAATATTGCCACAGAGAGCTTCATATGAAATGTCATAATGATATATCTACACATACACAACAGTAGGTGTTGTGTACATTCTGAAATCTCTCAACCATTCATCGCATCAAAAGAAGTAATGAGGTTTACCTTGGCCTGTCCACTTCAGAGTGTGCACTGATAAGTCAACCATGGTGTCGATGACGACGGTGACGTCTATGACGATGGCGACGACATCGACGATGACGATGAGCGCCTGTCATGTCAAATGCAAGCAAAGAACCTGAAAGAATAATATCCCATTTGAAGGTATATGTGCAAGGGTAAAACCATATTGTTTCGTAAATTACTAACTTTCAGAATGGTGAGTTTAATTCTAACTAACTAAATGCCACACTTTCGGGAAAGAAATAAAGGAAGTACCAAACAAAGATGTTTCTAACCCCTGAAAAACTGGAGATCTTGAAGTTTTGTCTTTCGGGAATGAAATATCTGGAACACGTGGAACTACTCACCCAGTAAAAGCACAACAAGCAGATAAGAGATCTTCATGGTGGAGAGAGCGACCCGTGTATGTTTGACTGAAGATCCTAATTGTTTCGTTTTGAGAACCACGATGTCTTTTATATTCAACTGACCTCGGAAGTGTATCAGGAAATAGTTGATCAATACCATTTTGATTCTGCTATGTTGATACTGCTTGCTGTTTGTTGATCCTGACAACCACGTCAAGCTTAACAGACGTGCTTCCATCCAACCATCCCACTACTGGCGGTTGTTGATGATGTTGTTGACAGCAGGTATCTGTGCGCCGTAGGGGACGATGACGACACAGCATGATGGTGGTCGCATGGAGAGTACGTGGTCTGTAAACGTGGTTCACGACAGGCGTTGCGGGAGGTACGTACACGTTTAAAGCGGTGGCTTTGCATGTATAAAAGGTTCTGGTGAACACTTGGCAGACGTTCTCAAAGCTCGTCAAGTGGTTGTAGCAACAGTCTGGCTGCAGAATCTAATTAAAAGAAGATGAAGATATCGTATCTGATGGTTTTATTGCTCCTGGGTAAGTGAGGTGAGGTGAAATTGGGTTTAACGTCGTGCTTGAGAATATTTCGCTCATATGACGACGTGCATGCGTGTGTATGTGTATGTGCGGCTGCTTGTACTAGCCCAGACTGAAGCTGGTTTTATAGTGCTAGCTCACTGAGATACCATGCCGCAGTGAAGCATGAATACCCCACTCAGACACATTATACTGACTCCGAGCCAACCAGTCCTTGTTGTACCCATTAATGCCGAGCGCCAGGCAGGGACCAACAAGTACCATATTTTAAGGTCTTTTGGTATGACGCGGTCGGGGATCGAACCCACGACCTTCCGCTCTCCGGGCGGACGCTCTAACCACTACACCACAGAGGCGGTTTCCTGGGTAAGTTGTTCGGCGATTAGGTCCGTACTAGTATCTGTGTATATTCAGAAACACGATTAATTAAATTACAGTAAAACTTTAAAATATGCAGATGCGAATATTGGAAAACTTTGGGCTTCGATGTTGTAGGTTCCTTATTGGCATTTGACATGACCGGAGCACATCGTCACCGTAGATGTCGTCGTCATCGCCACAGACGTCACCGTCGTCATCGTCACCACGGCTGAAATTTCAATGATCGATGATGTCAATTTGAACTGGAGAAGAGGTAATGTATATATCTTGGTCATACATATTCTTACAATATTTGCCCGATTATTTACTTAGCCTCTTCACGTATTCTTCTGGGACATGCTTTTACAATGACTATGAAATATCAAATCCAAAGGTCTGACCTCATATCGCCTACACCTAATTTCGCCTACACCCTTATCAAAAGAAATTTAGGGCTGACTGCACATCACGTAAATGCTGTTATACCTTTAGAAAAGTAGACTCTTCCACTAATGAGGTATACTTCCACTAATGAAAATAAATTCTTGCACTGATGATTTATACTTCAGTAAGGTCATATATTCAACAAGTTAAAATACCAATATCATCACCATGATCAGTCACATAAATCAATCACATACATCAGCATTCTGTATCGGTATCCAGCATGCAGCACATGTTGACCGCCTCTCTGTGAAGTAACAAACAAAGATTTGCCATTTTGACGCTGAGTGTGTTTATATACGACATTGCAAAATAGAATAATATGAGATGAGCAGGTCTTGTTAACAGAGAAAAAACAGCTCAGGTGATCAAAGACAGTAAGTCAGACTACGAGTATTGGTTGAGTCATGTGAGTTCATACTACAAAACATAATTTTATGTATGGTTGATCAAAGTATCCTAATTAAGAAAAGTAAGTATGGTTGATCAAAGAAAGAAGATAAGTAAGGTGAGTAAGTCATGTTTATACAATCAAAACATGTATGGTTGATCAAAGAAAGAAGATAAGTACAGTCATGTTTATACAATCAAAACATGTATGGTTGATCAAAGAAAGAAGATAAGTACGTCGAAGACCCGGGTTCGATTCCACACAAGGGTACAATTTGAAGTTTTGGTGACTCCCGCCGCTGGAATATTTTAGCAATATTCCAGCCTCAACATCACCGCCCGGCTACAAAAGCGCCGTTAAAACCAAGACACTTAGAGTACATGAAAGAGGCTCTTGGAATGATCTGTCTCAACACACTGTTTTGTATTCCCAATGTGGGGATTCTTGTGGGGAATCCCGGTCTTCGGCAGTGACGAGCGGACGCTTTAACCACTAGGCTACCCCACCGCCCCACAGAAATAGGATCTAATGTACATGACCATGCATAAAGACTTGTAGAGTAACTCATCATATCGATTATGTACCATCCATTGTTTTACAGTGGACATTGTAGGCTGTAATGCTGTAGCTTGTCGTTGCTAATTTTTCCTGTGGGTAGGTGTTGCAATAACTTGCTTAAAATCCTTCTTAGTCATTAACGTATCTTGTGTTTCTTTCTTCCAGGGTATTGATCTGCACAAGGAGCATACGAATATGCTAACGGCAACGGTTCTAATAAAACGTCATTGAGAAATCTCAACTTGTCTCCATAACGTTGTTACTTTAACCAGGGATAATCTACAACATATAGTACCGCCTCCGTGGTGTAGTGGTTAGAGCGTCCGCCCGGGGAGCGGAAGGTCGCGGGTTCGATCCCCGACAGCGTCATACCAAAAGACGTTAAAATATGGTACTTGTTGGTCCCTCCCTGGTCCCTCCCTGGCGCTCGGCATTAATGGGTACAACAAGGACTGGTCGGCTCTATTTACTTCTTAATGTACCCGTGAAGATCCAGGTTGGAACTGGTCTTCGGCAACCCATGCGACAGACGAGATCGGGTGGTCAGTCTCTCTGACTTGGCTGACACATGTCATCGTATGCACGTTGTTTATCACTAGATTGTCTGGTCCAGACTCGATTATTTACTCACCGCCGCCATATAGCTGGAAAATTGCTGAGTGCAGCGTACAACTGAACTACCTCAAACAAAGAAAGGGCGCTTCATGACCATAATTAAGACTGGTGACTTATATTGACTGTGTGTCATCCATCATTTTCAAGACTATATTGCTTTCTACATGCTGTTGGTTCACGCTCTTTTGCTTTTTTACCAATGGGTAGGGGCCGCCTCCGTGGTGTAGTTGCTAGAGCGTCCGCCCGGAGAGCGGAAGGTCGCGGGTTCGATCCCCGACCGCGTCATACCAAAATACGTTAAAATATGGTACTTGTTGGTCCCTGCCTGGCGCTCGGCATTAGTGGGTACAACAAGGACTGGTCGGCTCGGAGTCAGTATAATGTGTCTGAGTGGGGTATTCATGCTTCACTGCGGCATGGTATCTCAGTGGGCTAGCACTATAAAACCAGCTTTAGTCTGGGCTAGTACAAGCAGCTGCACATACACATACACACGCATGCACGTCGTCATATGAGCGAAATATTCTCAAGTTCGACGTTAAACCCAATTTCACCTCACCTCACCTCACCTCCAGTTATTTCACTGCGACGGGTCGTGGCCTATATCCCCGGTGAATCCCCCGCACGTACGCACGCACGCACGCATGTTGAACCCATTTCACCTCACTTTACAATTTGACGAAGGGTCATCTGTCTATTTTGAAAGATTATATAAAAACGTAACATCAAAATTCAACTTGGCACGATAGTGCATGACTGCTTTGTGCTGTCAGTATCTAACCTGACTTGGTTGATCAAAATTGTATAATTTTATTGATGCTGCTGATGTCAAACCCTGAACTGTCTGGTCCAGACACGATTATTTCCAGGCTTACTATAGGCTTATCTTGCAGAGTTTGACCTTAAACAACAAAGAAACAACCAACCAGTCAAACAAGTAGGGCTGCGCAATATAACCGGTTTACCGGTATTTACCGGTTCAGACATGAAAACGATACGTATTGCGATACGCTGATCGAAAACCGGTATTTTGACATGCATTCGGAAAACTTCGTAACACTCGGAAATCTTCGGATATTTCCGTTTTTTAAATTGTTCTTTTCCTAGTTTCATTAGTGCCAAATGTTACTTACATTTTTATTTTGTCACGATTAAAAGTTTTTATAAAAGGTTAATCAGTCATAGTGATTTTGTTGTGTTTTGGCTTTATAATCAAGCATTAACTCGATTATAAGTAGTTTTTGTTAAAAAAATAATCCTTGCAATATATTGCAATACATATCGCAATATATGCTTCCGCATCGCAATATATCGCAATATGAAAATTCTCTGCAATACCCACCCCTACAAACAAGCACATCCATTCAAATGAACGAGTGCCACAGACTTGACAGAGAAGTTATGTCATATTTTGGATATCAGTTAGAAACATAACCGAGTAGATATTTCTCAATGAGGTGTTTCCATACATCATGTGCAAGATATTATTCAATTGAAAGTTTGCCTGAAATACGATGGAACATTTGTCAACTACAACATAAACAACGGAATATTGCTGGAATCATCACCTATCAGTAGACAGAACTCCATTGTGTGAACATCAACAGCTCTCCCTACACCGTCACAGCAGCCTCACCATCGTCTACTCCGTTCCCAGCACATCATGCTGTTTGGAGAAATTGATAATGAGAAGTTAACGTGAGAAGGAGTGAGTAAGTGAGTTTAGTTTTACGCCGCCTTTGGCAATATTCCAGCAATATCACCGCGGGGGACACTAGATATGAGCTTCACACCATTGTACCCATGTGGGGAATCAGACCCGGGTCTTAACCACTAGGCTACCCCACCTCAATGTGAGAAGGAAGTGTTTTTTTCATATTATATTCATTATATTATGAAAGAAATTCAATTTAGTAGACTTGACAATATACGCCAGTACCTCTGTGAGGGAGAAACTTGCTGTCTTCTCCAATTGCCTCTGTCGAGCACGAGAGATCCGGGTTACTCCAGTTTCACGTGCTGGAATGTAGGTTAACCCTTACAGTGGATTGCATTACGGCTGACCAATTTGTAAAATATGAAAGTCGCTTAACCCTTTAAACGTGTTGCATTACGATTGACCTACTTGTATAATATGTAGGTCAACCCTTTGAATATGCTGTATTGCAACTGACTATTTTGTGAATTATGAATGCCAGTTAACCCCCTCAGCGTGAGGAGGAAGTTAATGACGACACTTGGCGAAGAACAAAACATATTTGCATTCAAAGACCATCAGTTATGCATATTAGAAGCCAGACATCTCAATACTCCCATTACAATGACCAAATGATGGTGGAGGAACCCAGTTGAAATGGACGAAACGTTTTCGCTCTGTGACTATTACGTCTGTTTCACGGCAGCCAGTACATAATCGGGTCTGGATCCAGAGACTAAACCCCCGAGCACTGACTGAAGGCAATCAGCCAAATCAAAATACCTGATCGACCAGGAAAGTCAGATGCACTATCCTATAGAACTGAAAGAAATAATGAACTGAAATATTGTCTGATGGAAATGATCATCCCATTAGTGAAAATGACTACAGCATGTTTTAAAAGGTGTAAAAGGTGATTGACGGGATTTGGGCTCTGACTTGACGAAATAAACCTACGTAAAGTCAATTAACGGGGTCGGGTGGTTAGGTTCTGCCGTGACGAGATACACCTACATGAAGTCAGTTAACGGGGTCGGGTGGTTAGGTTCTGACGTGACTTAAAGATTATGGGGTCGGGTGGCTACCTGACGTGACGAGAGTACATAAAGTCAATTAACGGGGTCGGGTGGTTAGGTTCTGACGTGACGAGATACACCTACATAAAGTCAATTAACGGGGTCGGGTGGTTAGGTTCTGACGTGACGAGATACACCTACATAAAGTCAATTAACGGGGTCGGGTGGTTAGGTTCTGACGTGACGAGATACACCTACATAAAGTCAATTAACGGGGTCGACGAGATACACCTACTTAAAGTCGATTAATGGGGTCGGGTGGTTAGGCTCTGACGTGACGAGATACACCTACATAAAGTCGATTAACGGGGTCGGGTGGTTAGGTTGTGACGAGATACACCTACATAAAGTCGATTAACGGGGTCGGGTGGTTAGGCTCTGACGTGGAGAGATACAGCTACATAAAGTCAATTAACGGGGTCGGGTGGTTAGGTTGTGACGAGATACACCTACTTAAAGTCGATTAACGGGGTCGGGTGGTTAGGTTCTGACGTGACGAGATACAGCTACATAAAGTCGATTAACGGGGTCGGGTGGTTAGGTTCTGACGTGACGAGATACACCTACATAAAGTCGATTAACGGGGTCGGGTGGTTAGGTTCTGACGTGACGAGATACACCTACATAAAGTCAATTAACGGGGTCGGGTGGTTAGGTTCTGACGTGACGAGATACACCTACATAAAGTCAATTAACGGGTCGGGTGGTTAGGTTCTGACGTGACGAGATACACCTACATAAAGTCAATTAACGGGGTCGGGTGGTTAGGTTCTGACGTGACGAGATACACCTACATAAAGTCGATTAACGGGGTCGGGTGGTTAGGTTCTGACGTGACGAGATACAGCTACATAAAGTCGATTAACGGGGTCGGGTGGTTAGGTTCTGACGTGACGAGATACACCTACATAAAGTCGATTAACGGGTCGGGTGGTTAGGTTCTGACGTGACGAGATACAGCTACATAAAGTCGATTAACGGGGTCGGGTGGTTAGGTTCTGACGTGACGAGATACACCTACATAAAGTCAATTAACGGGGTCGGGTGGTTAGGTTCTGACGTGACGAGATACACCACATAAAGTCGATTAACGGGGTCGGGTGGTTAGGCTCTGACGTGACTGAGATAAACCAAAATATGGCGATCAAAGAGATCGAGAGGCTTGGGTCTGACTTCACCTGATTCAAGGTTTGGCAGATACAATATCCGTTTTCGTGAATTTCATCAAAGACGTCAATAATGGCATGTTTACTTTATTGTAGCAAGTCTTAATCCACATTATGTCGACAAAACAGGAGACGTTTAGATAGTTCAGTCCATTTATTGAATAAAATAGGTATGAACATTAATCCGAAGTGTATGGAGAGTTGGTCTTGTGAAGAAATCCTGAAACAAAGCAAACAATATTGAATCATTAAATCACTTACAACTGAAAGTATAACAAATATGACATACATTGTTCTGCAGATTTAAGAATATTGCCATGTGCCACAGAGAACTTCATATGAAATGACATCCTTATATTTCTACACATACACATTTCAGGTATTTTTACACCAAAGTAGGTTTTGTGCATAATATTATTCTAAAATGTCTCAACCATTAATCGCATCGAAGGAAGAATTAAGATTAACCTTGGCATGTCCCATTCAGCGTGTGCACCGATAAGTCAACCATGGTGTCGATGACGACGGTGACGTCTATGACGATGGCGACGACATCGCCGATGACGATGAGCACCTGTCATGTCAAATGCAATCAAAGAACCTGAAAGAAAATATATCTGTAGAAGACAGAGGGTAAAACAGACTGTTTTGCGAATAGATTTGTTTTAGCCCAAGTTCTATTATGAAATTGTATTGACTAAATTTAACAGACTGTTTTGCGAATAGATTTGAAATATGAAAGTATTGCTAAAAACAAGAGATAGAGAAAGCAGCAAACAACGATGTTCCTCACCCCTAAAAGACGAGTTCTAGAAATTTTGTCTGCGGGAATGAAATATACATTTAATTGTGTTTAATCTAACATCTGGAACTACTCACCCAACAAAAGCACAACCAGCAGATAAGAGATCTTCATGGTGGAGAGAGCGATCCGTTTATGTTGAAAGATCTACTGTTACATTTGGCCAGCACTGTCCTTTATATACAATTGAACTCGGAAGTTTATCAAGAAAATATTTCAACCGATGCCATTTTGGTTTTACTCTGTAGGTGCTGCCTGCTGTTTGTTGATCCTGACAACCACGTCAAGCTTCACAGACGTGCCTGCTGTCAACCATCACACTACTGGCGGGTGTTGATGTTGTTGACAGCAGGTATCAGTGCGCCGTAGGGGACGATGACGACACAGCATGATGGTGGTCGCATGGAGAGTGCGTGGTCGGTAAACGTGGTTGACAACAGTCGACAGGCGTTGTTGGAGGTAGATACAAGTGGTGGTTTTGCATATATATAAGGTTATGGTGAACACTTGGAAGACGTTCGCAATTGGTTGTAAAGTAGTTTTGCTACAGAATATAAGTAAAAGATGAAGATATCGTATCTGATGGTTTTGCTGCTCCTGGGTAAGTCATTCGGCCATTAGTACCGTACTTGTACGCAGAAACACAATCAAATTACAGTAGAACGATGAGGGAATTGTAAACATTTAAATATGCAGGTGCGAATATTGGAAAACTTTGGACTTTCATGTTGTAGGTTCCTTATTGGCATTTGACATGACCGGAGCACATCGTCATCGAAGATGTCGTCGTCATCGCCACAGACGTCACCGTCGTCATCGTCATCACGGCTGAAGTTTCAATAATCGATGATGTCAATTTGAACTGGAAAAGAGGTACTGTAACCTTGGCCATACATATTCTTACAATATTTGGGAATACATGTACGTCTTGGAGCGGCGCTTGCAAACTGATCTGTCTCAAACACAGAAACGGGGCTGTATGACCATGCATCAAGACCTGTCGACTATGTACTATCTATCATTTTACAGTGCACGTTGTAGCTTGTAATGCTGTCTTAAACAAAGAAAGGGCCCATGAAGATCTGGGTTAGAATTGATCTTCAGTAACCCATGCTTGTCGTAAGAGCCGATTTACGGGGGTGGTCAGGCTCGCTTTAGTTTTACGCCGCTTTTAGCAATATTTCAGCAATATCACGGCGGGGGACCCGAGAAATTGGCTTAACTCATTGTACCCGTGTGGGGAATTGAACCCGCATCTTCAGCGTGACAAGCGAACGGAGTTACGTTAAGACTCAACTATCTAGAGTCATTAATATACAGCTGGAATATTGTCTATTGCAGCATAAACAAAGAACCTAACAAATCCTTTATGATCATTTTGACAGGACCATTCTATTTACTTCCTAATGTACCCGTGAAGATCCAGGTTGGAACTGGTCTTCAGCAACCCATGCGACAGACGAGATCGGGTGGTCAGTCTCGCTGACTTGGTTGACACATGTCATCGTATCCCAATTGCGTAGATCGATGCACATGTTGTTTATCACTAGATTGTCTGGTCCAGACTCGATTATTTACAGACCGCCGCCATATAGCTGGAAAATTGCTGAGTGCAGCGTAAAACTGAACTCACTCAAACAAAGAAAAGGCGCTTCATGACCATAATTAAGACTGGTGACTTATATTGACTGTGTGTCATCCATCATTTTCAAGACTGTATTGTAGGTTGTATTGCTGTTGGTTCACATTGCTATTTTTTCCTATGGGTAGGTGCTGCAACATCTTGCTTAAGACTACACAACTCCTCAAAGTTTCTGATATTTCTCTATTTCAGGGCATTGATCTGCACAAGAAGCATACGGTGTTAATGGTAATACATGCAATTACTAATAAATCATCACTGAGAAAACAAATCTCGTCTCCATAACTTTTTAATCTCCATCATCTTTTCATGATGAAATCATTTCCGAGCCATACACAACAGGGAACGTGCAAAGAGTTTACAATATGAAACCCGCCCTATAGCTGGAATATTGTGAGTGCGGCGTAAAACTTAACTCACTCACTCAATATGAGACTGATACATGCATATTCAGTGTGACGAGGCACATATATTTTGCACAGCATAACCTACAATTCACGCCGTTTGAGAATAACAGTTGGCAGGGGGAATAGGTCGGAGATAAAGGAGGACAAGAGGAAAAGGCCTGATACACACTGTGACCTGCACGCAAATCAGTCTGGCAACGTAACAATTAGTGAGTGAGTTTAGTTTTACGCCGCACTCCAAATATTCCAGCTATATGGCGGCGGTCTGTAAATAATCGAGTCTGGACCAGACAATCCAGTGATCAACAGCATGAGCATCGATCTGCTCAATTGGGATGCGATGACATGTGTCAACCAAGTCAGCGAGCCTGACCACCCGATCCCGTTAGTCGCCTCTTACGACAAGCATGGGTTACTGAAGACCAATTCCAGCCCGGATCTTCACGGGTCGTAACAATTAGTAATAGTAATAGTAATAGTCGCTTATGTGGCGCTCATATCCAGGCACATTGCCTGCTCACGGCGCTACGTACATTACTATTCACGGTCATAGGACACTATCCGATACGTTTTCAACTCCCTGGGGACCATACAACTCACATGGATACAATATTAAACATCAATTAAGTACATTGTATGTGTCAAATGCCAGGGACAATGGCAGCCAAGTCCACTTAGGCGCCGCAGTTTATGTGCTGAATTGTGTTATTTCAGCATGGCCCTCTACGCTCTGGAATACTCTACTGTTCAAAGCGGCCAGAAACCTCACTCACTCACTCACTCAGAGATCGTGTCACTGTGAACTCATTGCAACTTAAATCATTGAGATTGTGTTACTGTAGCAGGTGTGAACTTCAACCTGTAAACCTTAAATTGTTGATAAATAAACTGGATGTTCAGAATATGTAGCAAAAATGAAAACAAAATACCTGTGAAATGTCCCTTGAACAGGAACATGTCTTGAGCAGCAAAGTCTGAATCCTTTGTTTGACGTCTTCAAATTTCAAATAATTACACGAACATTCTTTGAAGTCAAGAGGTATGTTTGATAAATACTTTGCTATTAACTATTAGTTAAGTCCGTTTATCAGAATTTCGTCAACATTTTAGCCTGTTCATTTTCGTCATCTTAAATGTTTTTAATATTATTCTGAGTTAATGTTTCAGAAATATTCTTGTTTTTCGCTTAATACACCAGAATCGTTTATAATATTTCTGTGACATTGGATTGTCTAATAAGATTAGATATGTACATTATTTAGCCTACACTTCTGCAGAACAACAGGCGTGGTGGTACATTCTTATTTTCTACTACAGTGTACGGAATAAGCCCAAAACACTGCCAGACATCAGGGCTGGTAACTTCAAAATGTTACCAGGCCAAAATGGATTTAACCAGACCAGACACCAAGATATGCTGAATTTCCTCAGATGTATGGAACATCTCAAGTTTTTTACCAGACCATCGGGCTGGCAAGCTGTAAATTTAAACCGTCCGTCAGAAACCTAGCCCGTGTCGGGCAGTCGGAGGGGCCTTATTTCATACATTGATTTCTACCATACATCATCCGCTCATATGATACGTACATAATGACTAGGGCTGGGACGGGTCCAAAATATCTACCCGGGTACCCCACCCCCTATTACCCTACCCTACCCTACCTTGATTCCCGTTATGTAAATTCCTGATATCCAATTTGCAACAAAGGCAACATATTCTTCAGCTCGGAGGCTAAAATTTCGAGTTTTTCAATGTCTTAACCATGTATACTATCCCAAAACATTTTGATTGTTATTTTGGGACTAGTTACCTAGTCACTATAAAATAGCCACCACGTCAGGTTTCACAGACGTGTCTCTCTTCTACCAGCAGGGATGTTGCGGTTGTTGATGGTGCTGGTGTGATGATGCAGAGCAATCACTGGTCGCCGTCGGGGACATTGATGCACAGCATGGTGGCAGTCACATGGAGACGACAGGGTCACTGAACGTGGACGTCGACGTCAACAGTCGACAGCCGCTATGGGCGGCATACACACGTATACTTCCGAGCAATCTGGCATATATACTATCCCAAAAAAAGAAACTCATAGGCCAGAAATCCTCTGCGAAAATGTTGTATTTTCAAACATGTATAACTCGTCCACAGACTTTAGTGCATGAATTTTTACATCAGCTTAGAAGAAGGAAATGTCTATACAACCAAGTGAATAATTTTAGATAACGGAGGGTTTAGCGCGATGGTGACGACATAGCACGGTCCCGCCGTCGGGTCTCCTGGCTCTCAGTCCAATCTCTCTCTCTGTTCCGTACAGTTTGACCGGATATCCTCCGAAGTCAAGACACCCTGGCCGCTGTGCTCTCACCCGTGGCAGTACCATCACGCAAAATTATTACCTGGATGTACCGATCTTGGGCTGCAGTGGTGACTCGAGGTCTGCCTGTACGGGGACGGTCATTTGTTGTACCTGTTTGGTTGTAACGAGCTGCAAGCCGTGATATCGTGCTCAGACGCCTGGCAACAGAAGACTGGTAATCTCCAGCGTACATTCTTTCAATGGCGATGTTCCGCGTCGCAGCGTCAAGACGTGGCGTAGTGATTTGACCTTGAAACTCCTTCAAAACGAATGCCGATTTCCGTAAGTAATCTGGATTTTTATAGCCAGACAGTGCATATATGCTGTTTGCTGCTCAATTTCAACTGGAAGGTGATTTTTTGTTTAATCCTTGCAAGAAATCTCATCAAAATCAACATTTTCAGGTAAAGCGGATCTTATTTACTTGTGCAATTGTGTAAAAATCATGTTATTAACACTTTTGTTACATATTTTGACGATTGTCTGAACACAATAGGTATTTTAAATTTTTACAAATACAAAACGCTATGCGTTTCTTTTTGGGGGATAGTATATTATATTCAAAAGAAGAGACTGTAAATTATGTCTAAATCTTCAAAGAAGATACAACCTTTTAATCATGAAAGAATAACATATTGTATTGTTTAATCTATTAGTGACATGATCATAACGGGTCCGGGTACTGAGACGGGTATCCGGGTCCAACTCACTACCCACCCGTCCCAGCCCTAATATTGACCCATTTTAAAAACCGTTATGAAAACCGTTAAAGGTATTAACAGACTTTTCTCAGGCAGAAGGTACACACGTCTAATTCTGCCACTGCTATCTCATGGTTGTTTTAGCGAAATTACTCGTTGATTCCATATCTCCGAAACAATGCACCCTACAAGTATTCTTATGTGGATTCCTATGAACATCACATCCTCGAATCATACTTAAAACATGATAAACGAATAAACAATAAACAAACAAATGAAACAGTCGGTGACATGGTCGGCCCTTCGTATCGACCGTGGTCATTTGCTGTGAAAACATATGGTTGTGGGTTCGGAAGCGGAAACGACTTCATTATGTTTCTAGATTTGTCAGGTCCAAGAACCGTGCATGAGCGTTTCACGACAGAGGTTAACAACAGCCTGTAAGTCATTTCTCCCTTAATAATAAACCCGTGAAGATTCGGGTTAGAATTGGTCTTCAGCAACCCATACTTGTAAGAGACGACTAACGGGATCCGAAGGTCGGGCTCGAGTGGTACGGCTTGCTTATTTGGTTAACACATGCCATCGTATCTCAATTACTTAGAGTGGGCGGTGGGGTAGCCTAATGGTTAAAGCGTTGGCTCGTCACGCCCAAGACCCGGGTTCGATTCCCAACATGGGTACAATGTTTAAAGCCCATTTCTGGTGTCCACCGCCGTGATGTTGCTGGAATATTGCTAAAAGCGGCGTAAAACCAACTCAGTCAGTCAGTCAGTCAATTACTTAGATCGATGCTTATCCTGTTGATCACTAGATTGTCTGGTCTATTATTTACAAACCGCCGTTAAATAGATAGAATATTGCTGAGTGCGGCGTTAAACAATAAACAAACAAACAAACAAACAAAATAATAAATCTGTGTCATTTTCGAACCTGCGGCCTCATTATCTGGACAAAACATGAGATGTTTATATTTCACTCTATTTATTGATTGATATGTACATCAACGTTATCCGAACTGAAGGCAGAGTTATATTTTCTGACGAAGATCTGAAAGGAAGACATCATAAAATAATTAACATTACAAGAAATTATTCGACAGTATATTAAATATAAAACATGATGCTTATTTCCAGCATGCAGATTTACTGCATTAAGGGGTAATTTCAGTTCTTGTTAATTCTGTTCTATGTTATAAAATTTTAAGAAATTATTCTAAAACTTCTCAACCATCGAGGGTTTCCAGCTTACCATGGCAAGTTACACATTGCGTAGGCATCTGCAAGTCAACCATGGTGTCGATGACGACGGTGACGTCTATGGCGATGGCGACGACATCGGCGATGACGATGTGCGCCTGACATGTCAAATGCAAGCAAAGACCCTGAAAGAAAAATGACCCAAATAGAGGAAATACAATTTTTCGGGAATAAGTTATATTCAGTTTCATCGAAGACACAACTAAACTGAGCGTTCTTGTTCAAGACGCAGGGATACAAAAGCTTTAAATTGCGCGTGAGTGAGTATGGTTTAAGGTCGCTTTTAGCAATATTCCAGCAATATCACGACGGGGGACACCAGAAATGGGCTTTACACATTGTACCCATGTGGGAATCAAACCCGGGTCTTCAGCGTGACGAGCGGACGCTTTAACCACTACGCTACCTCACCCCTCTAGATAGAGATGTTGCTTACCCTAAAGATAAGAAATGTAGAAGTTTCGTCCACTGGACAACATATCAACATGTTTAAACTTACCTTCAGGAACTACTTACCCAACAAAAACACAACAAGGAGATAAGAGAT